TCCCTTGTCTATTTCTACACTAGATACCAGCCGATACCCCCCCCCCCCCGCTCATAGAGACTGCGTATTACAGTTGATTATAGTTCCTGGGCTCCCTGTGGTATAATGGACTAGCCTCTTTTCATGTTGACTTTCAGACTAAAATCATGTGACAGGCTGTTAAAATTGGCTGTTGCATACTCTTTTCCCGGTCTGGGAAATGTGTTTAATTAGCTCTCATTCAAGCAACAATGCAGATTTCCCAGTGGGAGGGAAACTATTCGACTCTGCCATTAAAAAATAGGAGTGTTTTCAGCAAAAAACGAATAACTGTGGAATGCACACAAAATACTGAATTTCGGAACAAATCGTGCATTACTTACAGCAGCAGAATACCACAGAAATATCAGACGAAACATGAAAACACTATATATTGTATTTCGGCCTGAACCCTCTATATTGCAATTCAAGGAATTAACCCCTTATGTGCATCCATTTCCCACCTTGGTATCACCCAACCCTGAAAACAAACTCTTAATACCACGCTGAAGCGTTTGGTAATAATAATAATAATAATAACTTTATTGAAATCGTATCCACAATGGGGTATATATCAATACAATAAAGGTAATACATATAAAAATAATGACAAAACAAAATTACAATATAACTGAAACAAATAAAATACATAACAGTTAGAAAGAGAGAAAAATAAAGATAATTTATAACAAACATAATAAAAAAAGAAAATAGTGTTTCTTTGTTATGAGGCAACTGGAAATCCTTTTTTAACTGTCTTCCCTCATAGTAAAACACTGGTAAATAAATTTACGCATGTATTTAACCCCCAAACAATGCAGTAGCAGTAATACACATCGGACGAGTAATATCAGTCAGGAAATAAACTTAGTCCCTGGCTGCTAGGTTGTGATTCACGCGAAAGGTTGCTAGATTTCGGTTATAATCGCATGTAATATACAGTTCAATGTATAGTTTTAGTTGTATCAGTAATTTCGTTTTCACCAATCAGGCTATCTTTTTCAAGATATAGCACAGTGCGTACTTCTGTTAACACTGATTTGCAAATGCAATATCACTTGAACGCATATAAAGTTTCAATTCATCTCACCACGTACTAAACATTGATATATATGCTATATCACTTGAACCACAGTACTCATTTTGCCCAACTTCCCACTTTTTAAACGACCGCTTAATTTCTGACCGCACTGTATTTTCCGACCGGAAAACGACCACATTTTTACCGTTTTTTTTCTCTCGCTCGTATATTGAAAACACCGACCGCTCGCCCAAACACTGGTCACCGGTACAGGAGTAGTCAAAATGTTTGGGGATATACAACAAGTGTTAACTATTATAAATTCTGAACGGCTCTTCAAATCTATACCACTCTGTATCGTTCGCGAACAACTTCATCTGTGTCAAATACTAGAGCCGGTACAATATTGTAAACAAATGCCATGATATCTCAGTCATATCTCTATTGTATACACTACCTTTTTTATTCTTGTTTGCACAAACGTTGAATAGCCGTCAAACATTCAAATATCATTCAAATATATTTAGTTTTTAACTATCTATAATTATATGCACGCACTTTGACCCTGTGACCTAGATTTGATTGGAATGGAATATTTTATTTTAAACAATATTCTGACGTTACCTACTGCCCCCAAAATGTGTCAACACAATTGCGGTATGACTGTCCGATTTGCAAGTGCATTGGGTAATATAATAATAACCATTCTCACCAATCGCTAGCTTAGGAGCGAGTAGGAAACAAACAGCCGCAGGTCGCCCAGAAAGGACTGAGAAATTAAAAA